AAACAGCATGTTAAATACATTTTCAAAACAGTGCCTTGAGGCATTCACATTGAGACTATACAAATAAATACAGTTAATTCAAATTGATAGGTTTAAAACATATTTAATGCATTAAAATCACATAGACAATTTTTTTATGTAAAAGAGTGAAGTATGCACTTCTGTGGGCTTCAATTTGAACTGATAACACTACACAAACAGATGGATTTTCTGTACTTTATCTGCTATTTAGTTTGGTACTGTTGCCAAAACACAAACAGCTTAGTTATTTTGTTTTTCTTCACCTATAAAAAAAAGGTACCAGATCCCATCTGATCTTGGAAACTAGGCAGGGTGAGCCCTGGATAGTACTTATCTGGGGGACCACAAATAAATACAAGGTGCTGTGAGCTATATTTTGGAGGAAGAACCTGGCAGAATCATCTCTGAGTATCCCTTGCCTAAGAAAGTCCTATGAAATTAATGGGGTCCCCATAAATTGATAGATGATTTAAAGGCACGCAGACACACATGGATCTAATAATGTTTAATTACACACTGCTCTGAGCTGTCATGATATTTAATTGGATAATGTTTGTGGAGTACTGTGCTAATAAGATACACCATATAAATGTTAACTATTGTTATTGCAAAAGGTCACTGAAGAGAAGAATGCAAATGACCGATTAAAAAGAAATAAATGAACCACATCCTACTCAAAAGAGAAGCTGCCTCTACACTTTTAAAACTGGGACATTTCACAGATTTGTAGATATATAATATAATAGTAACATTTCCCGCTTTCATGCTTTACAGTGGTTTCATCTTCTGCATTTAGAACATTTTCAACTGGATGAACAAATCGATATCAAATAAAGGAGCACTCCAGTAGTATCATAAAAGAAAGTTTGAGGTGCAAACCAATTAATGGCTGAGATTCTGAATTACCTAGCATTGATACAGCTTCCTGGTTACTCTGCCCCCCAGGACTCAAAGCTTTTCTGAAATAGCTTCCTTAATCGCCATTCCATCACTGACCAGATATAGACCAATGACATTTTGCCACCATCCACCAGGGTCTTCTTGAGGTCTTAACATATTGTTATAGGGACATAGCTAGATGCTTTTCTTATCCCTTATGCCTCACCATTAATAGAATGGCCATTCAGGGGACTGTCACAGTAAACCATGAGTCTGGGTCTTTTGCCATTGAAACTAGAAAAGAAGAGCAACCTTTGCAGTGGTGTAAGATGTGCAGTGGTATAAGATGTGCAGTGGTATAAGGCGAACTCATATATTTTACTCACAGTTTGCTCTTTTCTAATTTCTGTCTAGCCTTCTATAGGCATTCACCTGGATGTGGATATACAAAAGGTACATCAAGGATTATGTGTTTGTATGATCTACACACGCAACAAAATGTCTGTGGACACAAAACATTTATGTGTCAAAAACAAACGTCTAGAAAGGTTTTCTAAGTTACTCAACATATTATGATCTTTAGAAGTGCATGAACCCCCAGGGATGTAGGAATCAGATTTACGCCTACACACTTCTGGTTTGCCTCCAATCTCTCACACACTTCAGTCTCTCCAAAAACTCTAGATATGGAAACTGAATGTAGGATACAAGGGCTATTTTATACATTACAGAAAGATTGACTCAGGTTTGTTGCTAGCAAGGAGTTGCTTGAAGCTGACTGGGTCATGTGGAAACAAACCTTACATAGCCTTTATTGCATTTACAATTAAACCTATTATGTTTGAAGTAGCCATAAGAGTCCACATTTGTATTTTTGGAATGTATTTTTGGGAGTGAAGCCTCTTCTGCTTGCATAGTTTTATCAAAGCAGAAATCTAACTGAGAGTGGAATATCAGAATCATAGATTTGGAAAGGATCTCATGAGCTATTTATTCCCAAACCACATGGGATATGAAACACAAGTGCAAGTTATCCAGCTATAGCATCCCAAGCAGGTAGATGCCCAGACTCTTTTGGAGATGTCCAGAGAAGGCTACTCTACCACAACTTGGTTCTTCCAATGTGCCTTTGGAGAGTGATCATATATCCCATTTCTGTCTGTTCCATCTATAGTGTTGTCCTCATGATGCATTGTCGCCTCGTCCTTAATGAAGCCCAAACCCCACTGTTCATCCCTTATGAGCTCCTCCCTCACAAATACACTTTCCCACTCCTATCTCATCCAGGGTTTTATCATTTTATCTTGTGCATTTGGCTTGCTCATTGTGTTCTATTTTTCATTATGTTATTTTACACTGCTTATTTTATCCTGTTACTTCATGTATTTTATTATGATGTATTTTTTTGTTGCTTTGTATTTTATTTTGCTGTATTGTATTTTTGGGCTTGGCCTCATGTTAGCCATCCCGAGTCCCCTTTGAGGTGATGGTGGTGGGGTATAAATAAAGATGATGATAATTATGATGATTATTATTATTATTTGAAACACAACAAGATGAGTTCACAGCAGACAAGATCACTCTGCTGGCTGTTGTATTGGATCATCCGTCGGACACTTCCCAAGTGTCTAGGACTGTGTGATGTATTGGCGAATGATGTGTGCAGATCTCAGTAAGGTGGCCTTCTGCAGCTGGCAGATGGTAATTTTGTCACCGCCGATTGGGTTTAAGTGCAGGCCAAGGTCTGATCACCACTGGGACCACCTTGACTGGCTTGTGCCAGAGTCTTTGCAGTTCGATCTTTCAATCCTCATATCGTGTCAGCTTTTCAAGTTGTTTCTCTTCAATCCTGCTATCACCTGGGATTGCGACATCGACGATCCATACTTTGATTTTTAACACGATTGTGAGGTCAGGATTGGTGTCATTACTGAACTCTTACTGTCAATAAGTTCCTTCTAATGTTCTGTTGAAAACTACTCTCCTGTAACTTCAACCATTAGACTTGGTCCTATCCTCTGAGGCAATGGAGTACAGACTTGCCCCCTCTGGAAAATGTTATTTGAAACTGATGCACTAGAAATGAGGTCTGCCTATCACAACTGTGTTTTGTGTTGCCATTGTTATGGATTGTTGAGGAATTTAATTATATGAAGCCCTTGAAAGCCTTCCTATCTACAGATGAGTAAATTATGAGACATAGTGTTTTTCTTCATTCCAGAAGGTTCTTGTTAATATTGCTACCCTGCCAAAACTGTAATGGTTAGTTGTTGGTATTATCTGACTCTATTGAGGATACCAGTGTACTATTCTCTCATTTCTAATAATAAAGTATTTTTGTATGTGGAATCAAGTACGTTCCACCGCCAAACTCAAATATGAGGTGGAATAAAATGCAGTAAAATGACATAAAATGAAAACAAAGAAGCTTTCATTTGCTGTAGGATGGTATCTCTCCTGACCTCACTGTGTTCCAATTTCACCACCCTCCATCAATAGAAGAAATTTCCATGGGCAAGGAGGATGTCTACTAGTTGTTGTAGAACGTGTAACTTCCATGAAGATGGGAATGTCCTACTTGTAATCAGAGAATATATAGTTTCCATGGAGATGAGGATGTCCTACTCACATTCAGGGGATGTAAAATCCATGGGGAACTGAAATCTCCTACTAGCAATCAAAGAACATGTAGATTCTACTGACAATTGCAGAACATTTAGCTTCTGTTTCTTCACATCATGATTCACTGAAAAATAGCATATGTTGCTGTGGTTTACTCCCATTGACTGAGAGAAAGAATCACGTCATTGACTAATAAATAAATCTGACATTTGCTTATCTCAGCCAACATTGCTGCTGTTGTGTGTGTGTGTTGAGAAGGCATGACCATAGAACAGTTAAATTGTTGATTGGGTACATTGTGGTTGTTGCAATGAAATACGACTGAGGAATTCAAATAACATCTAATTCCACATAACCCAATGTTTGCTCTAGGCACTGCTATGTATGCAAAGTTTAAATGACTGCCATCAGTACACTTCTCATGTAGTAATGGGTGTTTCTCAGTAAACTTTCTCATGTAGTAATGGGTGTTTTCTGGAAAAAAGTAACTAGAAATCTTTCTAGAATATCTAGTTTAAATGTAGAATTTGAGCCCATTCAAATATTTATATCAAAATTATTTCATTGGTATAGGTGGAAGTTGAAGTATAACGTAAATAGCATATACCTCCTTTATGAGGTTTTTTTTGTTGTTGTTAAATCCACAATGTTTTAAAATATAGAATATGTACCTGACATACCTTAGTTCAACGGTTTAACTTTCTGTTGCTTAGGTATAGCTGTAGTATTTTCAATTTCATTTGTTTGTGCTTTGCGTTACTTATCAGGTTCATATTAAGTTGAGAAAAATCTGATTCAGCACAAATACTGTTTTATTAAAGCAGTCTGTGAGTCTGTAGGCACAGGCAACTCATGTCTTAACTACTTGTACTTTTGACTGATTGAGAAGCATGAGATTTTGTGAAAGCTTAGCAATGTGTTCTTTCATTAGTATATTCCACCAGGATTTGCCAGTCTATTTCACTATGGGTTTGCTTTCTTCATTAGAATAACAGCTAGACGTTCATATTCTATATTTACTCCTATTTAACATGTTTGACTGCAATGCAGTAGGCCAGAAAACTGTGAGTAAATGTGTAGGTATATGGAATTTTATTTTATTTGGAAAAACATATAATCAGGAGTCATCTGTCTTTGCTTGTGATCAGCAGAAGATGCATTTTGCCTCTACATGTTGTGTTAGTGTCTGGAAATATTTATACATTTTCTAATTTGCTTTTAAAAAGTTACGTCTTAATTTTCATCTTGTTTGTGAATACGTAGTATTTTATACATAGATAGATCCCCAGGAGAGGTTTTCTGATTTACTATAATCTGCAACAAGTACATATTGTGCTGGAGGGTCACAAGGATATATAACTGTATAATATCTTGATACTGTAAATAATAAAATTGTCTTTAGAAAAAGCTGACAAAATGTAAAAAAAGTCACACCATGTACATGTAGGTTTAACAAAGTTCAATGATTCTCTTTCCAGGTCTGAAACTCTCCCAACAATGTTATTCCTTGGACTTCTGTCTCTGCTTATTTTGAAAACTGAAGCCTTCAGTACCAGTTTTCCAGATGAAACCATAGCAGACTTTTCAGTGAATGTTTACAATCAGCTGAGAGCTACTGGGGAAGATGAAAACATTATTTTCTCCCCATTGGGAATAGCAATTGCCCTGGGAATGGTTGAACTCGGAGCCCATGGTTCCACCTTGAAAGAAATCCGACACTCCATGGGATATGAAGGTTTGAAAAACGGTAATGTATTTTTTTAATCAAACAGCATTTCTTTGATCATGTTTTATTTCTTTTCCGCAGTGAATAAAGATAGCAATCCTAGGCATGTTTATATAGGTTTAAATCCCATTGGATTCAGTGTGACATATTTTTGAGTAGACAGAAATGGAGCTGCTCTGCACCACTTCTTCAGAATGATATTTGTTCTCCATTCATTGCTATTTAATCTGTAGTATTACACACTATACATTCATATTCGGATATCTCTGACCTGGTGCCCTCTATGTAGATCCCATCATTAGCAAGTACCACAACCATTCATCATAATGGCAGTTGCAGTTCACTTCTGGAGAATATCAGGTTATGAAAGGCAAGAAAGGATTTTGCTGTACCACGAGGTTAAACATAAAAGGGTAGCTCTTTTCAGAGGGAATGCCCTCCCTTTGAGCCAAAACACATGGGAGTGTTAATACTAGGTAACACATTTGTAATTGCTAGGCAAAATTCTAGTCATAGTCTGTTTCAACAAAAAACATGGTCATGCACCCCTAGTGCTCATAAAACTCCATAATGGTTGAGCATTATCCCCATGTTCAGTTTATGTATGTAGCACATGCTATAGTAGCAATACACCATGCCAAGAAGGCCTTCCACCTTTTCAAATGGAATAAGTTAGAGCAGTGGTTCTCAACCTGTGGGTCCCCAGATATTTTGACCTTCAACTCCCAGAAATCCTAACAGCTGGTAAATTAGTTGAGATTTCTGGGAGTTGTAGGCCAAAACACCTGGGGACCCACAGGTTGAGAACCATTGGGCTAAAGCATGCTTCTATTGATTTTATATTTTCCCCTTTAGTGTGGCTGATAGCCACTAGATTTTTATGTTTCCTAATGCAAGTAGGAGGCATTCAAATATGTAGATTGACCTGAGAGTTGAGAAGTACTCTTAGCTTCACCAGACTAAGAGCTCAGTACATAACGTGTTTTCACTGCTATTTACAAATCATAGTCATATGAGAGGAATCATTTCACAAACTCCCACTTCACTGCAGTCAGTCAACCCATTCTGCAATTCCCAGGTTGATAAAACCTTGGAGTGATTGCCTGAGCAACTAGGCTCCTGGGAGATATACCTTAGGCAGTTCCCAAGTAAACATTCAACCTCCAGTTTCTGAATTAGAACAAGTTCTATTTATAGAGATAAAGGGAAAAAGAAGTTGAGACAAGCAGAGTACAGAGCAGAATGAAACACCTGATTGTCTATCTAGTCAAAATTTGAGCCAAGCAAACAAGTCCTCTGCTTCATACTTGCATACTGGAAACTGCATCAAATTCTGTTATGGTTCAAATAAGTCAAAACAACAACAATAACAATGGAATCTTTTGGTTATGACAGAGCTTGGAGAAGTTTATGTTTGGAACAACAATTGTTTGTAGGATTGTGGGAAACAACTCTGGATAGGAGGATAGAAGACTGAGAGCTAGAGAGATTGTGACCTGGAAATTTTTAAAGCAGGGATGTGTGACTTTGAAAGTTCTGAGAGCTATTTTATGCAGACTGCTTAGCCCTCTCCAACAAACTCAGAAAATTGGAAAGTCAAATGTGATTTCTCAAGGAGTTTCAGGGTTGTTTTTTTTTGAGGGGGGGGGTTGTAATCTTAGGACACCACCTGCCTTTAGATATCTTATATATTTTCAGTAAACCACTTTTCACAAAGTGATTTCTAAAATTATACCGTAAATATCCATGTCATCCAAAACTCCGGTTGTGCCTGAGAAAGGCATGTTCTGTGCAGGTGTTCATAACCCACACAACATGAACTTCCTAGCCTTCAAATGGAGCTTCAGAGTTGTGGGAAGGATTGGAGGGCAGTCCTTTCATACTTTTTTTTCTATGTCCAAGGATTTAAGGAAGAATCTTAACTATTACGGAGAACCAGCAGGATGTAGTGGTTTGAGCATTGGAGTAGATGTTTGGAGACCAAAGCTCAAATTCCCACTCAGCCATGGAAACCCACTGAGAGGAGGAAGGGAAAGGCAACCCCGTCTCAACAATTCTCACCAACCTTAGGTTCTCCATAAATCGGAAGTGACTTGAAAGTTTCCAAAAACATACCTATTATAAAATAGTCAGTAGTGACCTTTTCTATCAAAATATAATGTATTACTGTTCTTCTTCCCCAGTAGGATATTTTAGGCTTTGAGTATATATGTTTATTTTGACAGTTCTGCATTCTAACTCTCATTTCAGGTGCAGAATTTAACTTCTTGAAGGAGCTCTCTGACATGTCAACTACTGAGGAAAGCCAGTATGTGCTAAAGCTTGCCAACTCCCTCTGTGTGCAGAAGGGATATCACATTAGTGACAAATTTTTGCAATTGATGAAAAAATACTTTAATGCTGAAGTTGAAGACGTAGATTTCAGTCAGAACATTGCTGTCGCCAGCTACATCAATAAATGGGTGGAGAACCGTACAAACAGTAAGCATCAGCATTTTAACAGTCCTTCTTTTGTTGTCAGTGGTTAGCTTTTTCTGCTTTTAAATGTAAATATTTCTACATATCAAGAATTAAAATGCCACATTCTAGGCATCTGTTTCTTCTATGTATTTTCACTTTTCTTTCCTTCTGCATGAACAATCTATTTCAGCATTGGGTTGTTGTAGGATTTTTCGGGCTATATGGCCATGTTTCAGAGGCATTCTCTCCTGACGTTTGCCTGCATCTATGGCAAGCATCCTCAGAGTTAGTGAGGTAGTATTTCAGCATTGTCAAATGTCTATAACTTATTCCTGTCTTTTGCAGCCAAATTACTTTTCTTCCTTATTTGGGAGATAGCTTTTAAACCATTTACATCCTAGCATTAAATTGTTTTTAGGGTCTTCTAGTGGCCTTCAACATTGTTGGTTTCAGTCATTACCCTGGCTACAATACAATCTATTTGAAATGTCTGTTTCTTAGAATGACAACTGGTAATATCAAACTGTTAAATGTTGGAAATATTTTGTTATTGATGCCCCTATTCAATTTTGTTTAGTTTACCAAAGTTCGGAAGAAATCCAAAGAGCATTGAGTGCAGGTGCCATTACAATTTGGATACAGTTAGACCTAGAGTTAGGGGAAGGGAATCTTGTGACATGGACATTTTCTAACATTGCTTTTTCCTACCTATATGTTTATCCATCTATTTGTCTAAGTAAATGTTATCTGGGGCTCCTATACCACAATCAGTCTGGTAGATTGGATAAATAATAATAATAATAATAATAATAATAATAATACTTTGTAATAAAACTTTATTTGTATTCTACCCTATCTCACCGAGGGGACTCGGTGCGCATTCCAGCATACATAAACACAAAGGCAAACATTCAGTGCCTAGATAAAGGTAAAGGCTTCCCCTTCTGGATCTGAGGGGTGGTAACCATCTCCATTTCTAAGCCGAAGAGCCTGTGTTGTTTGTAGACACCTCCTAGGTCATGTGGCCAGCATGACTGCATGGAGCGCCATTTACCTTCCCACTAAGGCAGTACTGATTGATCTACTCACATTTGCATGTTTTTGAGCTGCTAGGTTGGCAGAAGCTGGGGATTACAGTAGGAGCACATCCCGCAGATTCAAACCACCAACCTTCCAGTCAGCAAGTTCAGCAGCTCAGCAGTTTAACCTGTTGTGCCACTGCGAATAAGAACTTCTCATTATTTTTCTGAGTATAGCATTGGCAAACTCTAGTGCCCGAAGTAATATATTTTTTTATATTTTTTATTTCATTTCATTTACTTTCTTTATTATCCCAACTTTCTCCTGATACAGGGACTCAAGGCAACTAATAAATGAATACACTTTGAAGCTTTTTTTTTTAAAAAAAAATGTGTCATTTAAAATGTAGCTTTCTTTCAGTTGTAGTTTTTGTTAAATATAAGGGAAGCATTTGTTATTTGTTTTACCTTGTAGTCCAATAGAATAATATCCACATAAAGCTTTGCATGTGTTTGAACAGACTATTTAAATTAAAGGTGCTAAATCAGAAGATACTATTTAGAATAATATGTTCTAGAAAAAGAAATTGCTGTTCTATTTCTTCCAGAAAACCCCTAGGTGCAATTATCTACTAGTCTGTTCCTTTCTACCAGTTCATCCCTTAATTCTAGGAAGTGCTGGTAGAAGATATAAAAATAAAACTTCAGAGCTGTAAGCAGGAGCTTGCAAAACTGTTGAAAGCTGGGAATGGCTTTCAATGAAAGGATGAGCTCACAACCAATAAAACAAAACCTTCAAGTTATCATTGAATGATGGGGAAAATAAAACAATATGTACTGCACAAGGTCAGCAATTTTAAAAAGTTCAGCCAAATGCACCTATTTACAGCTTTTGTTACAAAAATGTGAGAAAGTACATTTTCAGAGAAACTGAAATGGTTTCATGATAACGTTGGCAGAAGGAAGAAAAATACTTAGTTCAGCTTTATCAGTTGTGTTTTCGTCTATTTTAAAATTAGTACTTCTGCAGATAACACAAGTTGTCTGCAAGATCTTCCTGGCTAATTAAACAGGTCAGAGGGGGACTGGCAGAGTGGGTGAAGGTGCTGGTGAACACCTCCTTGGCACAAGGCTCAATGCCAATTAGCCTAAAGGAGGCTGTAGTAAAACCTTTATTAAAGAAACTGGATCCCACTCAATTAAACAACTAATCTCTGCTGGTTCTCCTGGACTTCTCAGCAGCATTTTATACCATAATCCATGGTATCCTTCTGGATTGGCTTGGTGGGATAGGATCAGGGAGCACTGTTTCGCTGGAAGACCAAATCCAGAAGTTGGTGCTGGGTGACTCCTGTTCGACCCCCTGCCAGTGGCCTGTGGGGTCCCTCGGGGATCCATTCTGCCACCCATGCTATTTAATATCGACATGAAACTGCTGGGAGAGATCACCCAGAGTTTTGGAGTTCAGAGTCATATTTATTCAGGCTCCTTTCCACCAAATGCCAAGGATGGCATTCTGATCCTGAACCAGTATCTGTCAACAGTAATGGACTGGATGAGGATGAACAGATTAAAATTAAATCCTTACAAGACAGAGGTATTCCTGTCAGTCGTAAGGCAGAACAGGGTATAGGGATACAGCCTGTGCTGAATAATAATAGTAGTAGTAACAACAACAACAACAACAACAACAACAACCTTTTATTTATACCCCGTCACCATCTCCCAAAGGGACGCAGGGTTGCTTACAAACACACAATGGTGTCAAGGGGTTACACTCATAGCTTGGGGGTAATCCGGGACTCATCGCTGACCCTGGAGCCTCAGTTGTCAGCGGTGGCCAGGAGCGCCTTAGCACAGTTAGAACTTGTGTACTAGCTCTGCCCGTACCTTGAGATGCCAGATCTGACCATGGTAGTACATGCCCTAGTTACATCTGCAACTGCAACATGCTCTATGTGGGGCTACCTTTAAAGAGCACTCGGAAGCTTCAACTTGTCCAGTGATCTGTGGCCAGGTTACTAACTGGAGTGCCGTGCAGGAAGTGAACTACTCCCATGTTATGGCAGCTCCACTGGCTGCCAGTTTGCTACCAGGCAAAATTGAAAGTGCTGGTCATGACCTTTAAAACCCTAAATGGTTCAGGTCCAGACTACCTGACCAGTCACCTCTCCTCATATGAACCTGCCTGGTCACTGCATTCATCAAGCAAGGCCCTCCTCTTGATCCCATCACTGTCCAAAACCCAGCTGGTGGGGACGAGAGAGGGGTTCTTTTCTGTAGTTGCTCCCTGCCTCTGGAACTCTCTCCCAAAGGAGATTAAAATGGCCTCCACACTCTCCTCTTTCAGGAAACAGTTAAAAACGTACCTGTGCTCCCAGGCATATGGAGAATTAAACATTTGAATATCTGGCTCCAACACAATGAATGCCTTATCGACCGAGCTTTGAAAACAGATATGGCTTTTAATTTATTTAACTGGGTTTTTAATCCTGTTTTAAAATGTTGCGAATTGTATTTAGTTGATTGCTATTATGTCTTAGTTATGATAAATTGTTGTATTAATGCTTTGCTCTTAATTTATTATGTATTTGTATTTTTGTGTAATTGTGTGGCATCGAATGGCTGCTATCCATGTTGTTAACCACCCCAAGTCTCCAAGAGGAGATGGGACAGGATGCAAATAAAGTTGACTTGATTTGACTTGACTAAACTTTTAACACTTTTAATGCTTTTTCACATAGCTTCTTGACCTAGCACAAAGGTGATCTCTCTGTTCAGAAGATGTAGAGACACAGATTACTGTGGGCTACTACTGCCTGTTTATGTCTTCACAAACATCTATTTATTCTGCAGATTTATGTTAATATAGATAACATTTCTCCATTTTCTATATGTGTGAAAATGCACGGGTGATTGTCTACCTGCTAAAGTATGATGAACATGTTCCTGTCACAATTTTTGAATTTTCAACAACCAAGGCACTATTATAATATAGTTCTTTCATTGAACTTGAGACATACAGATCTTGCAAGGAAAAGATAGCAGCAACACAATGCGTGCAGCTTAAATCTCAGCAATAGAGGTAGAGGAGGCAGAGATTCAAGGTTAACATGGTAAGAATGTAAAGCAGAGGAATTATTCACACCTGGTTCAATTGTGGGTAATGTCTAAAGGAGCCACACAAAAGCCTTCTCAAGAGAAGGGAAGTGCTGAGTGCTTATTTTAAAGGCACATAATAGAAATCACAATATAGATGTTCTGTCTCCAGCTCTTGGTTTAGCAAGAGAGAATGAGCAGTGTTGTTTAAAAAAGTAGGAGACTTAAATGTGCTGAAGGTGACAAAGCTGAGTTTAGAAGGCCATAAAGCAAAAGAAGTGCAGAATATAAATAAATCAGGGTGGATTTAGGGTGATGCCACTGAAAGTTAAAGTTGTATAACTCACACTTTTAGTATTTTAGTGACTCAGACCAGTTGGTCAGCCAATCTTATGTCTTCCTACTTGGGAAACAGTCCATTGAACCTAGTGAAGATTATTTCAAATGATGGTATATATAGGATTGCAGTTAAAACAATCAAAATACAGCTCTCCTATACCAAAATAGCAAAAACAAAGAAAATAAAGATTACGTGTAGATCCATAGGAATAAAACATGTGCCTCATACATTTATTTGAATCAGTTTCATAAAACGTGAAAGATTTCAAGTTATGCAGAACTCTTTTCAGACTAAGTGGAAGAAAGAATAACAAGGGCAAGGGAAGCTTGAAAATCCATTCTTTTCTATACCTACTCAATATTTTCATATCTAGTCTGATAAAAGACTAAATCTTACAGATAGTATAGCAAATAGTGTAAAGGGGCCACAAGGATAATGCATTCCAATTTCTCCCTACATGGGAATTAAGAGCTGAAATAGCTGAAAGCCATGCAACCTCTCTTTCTGACATACTAATAAAAGTGTATTCACCACCTATGAATTTTGATAAGACAACAATTATGTCTTTATTGGTAAGGACTGGGACTTGGTACTGATTGTGAAAGAGGATTCAGGGCTAATGTAGGAATGGGATCTTCTCAGTGGATTGCTGGGACTTATGTGATTTCACTCATTTTCTTTCATGGAAGGGGCCAATGCAAGAAAATGAAGCATGGGCACATGTGTCCAGGGATTTAGTAGAGTACTCATGTTGTTTGGCTCAAGGGTTTCTGTTGTGTTTGTGCTGTGTTATCAGAGGCACAGTTCACAAGGCAAATGCTAGAAGTCCGTTCAACAAAGCCAAGGCATGCATTCCACAGTCAAAGAACGAAGTCTAAACAATAACCGATAAGGATAGTACAAAGCCTAAGGCTTTGGGCTTTGGGTTATCTTTATCAGTTATTCAGTTACCAGAATCAAAGCTGGAGAATTTCAGGAACAGGTCTAAGATAAACAATAACCAAGATCCAAAAAGCCAAGTGCCCAGGAGAAGCAGTAATTGGGTTCCTTCAGAAGTAGCTGACTGCCACAACAAGCCTTCAGTCTGATCCACTAAGATCTCAGGTATTGCTTGTTGAGAACTTACTTGTTTCTTTGCTAATATTGCAGACCTGTGAGACACTGCATGCTCCTAAGTTGAAGAGACTGCTGGGAGCTGCTGCTCTCCATATCCTCCGCTAGCCTTTCCAGCTACTCCTCATTCTCACTGTCAGAGCTGGCCATTATAGTTTCATAGACATTTGCAATTTGCATTATCCCAAGTAAAATGCAGAATTTCATCTGTAAAGATCTGTGAAATCCAATGCATTTATTTGATCCATCACTGTCAGTGCAGAATCCCAAAATCCAAATTATCATACTACAAAAGCAAGTAGAGCCATTCCCAGTTGGCATTGCCAATGGATTTTGACTGAAGTGACTTGTTTAGGAATGTGGGTACAGCAGCTGTTACATTTGGCTAGCAAGCCTCTCGTGACTTGAGCAGATGCAAGATGTATCATCCCTTTCTTGGGTAAATGTCAGTGGGATAAATTCTGAGATGTTTACTCTGTTTATTGTTCAGTCATTACCCTTACAGCTTGTGGGATGTTGCCTAGGTAAAATGGAGTGATGAAAGCATGTGTGTGGCAACCTTCCCATAGTGCCTCCAGCCAGTGGCATCATTCTATCTGTGTATCTTACCTTGCTGTTCTGTATGCCTTAGGTGAAATTGTTTTTCAAATTTTTTGAGGATGGAGGACTCAATAAAATGATTCATCTGAGACAAAGAGGTTTTGCCTAGTTCATGACTAGTGCTATGCTAATAGGAAATGTACAAAATATATCATCTTTCTGGTAATAGTTCTGAAATTAGAATTGACAGAAACAATAACCAATGCCTAACATACACAGACATGTATAGGTTGACCTTGTGGATAAGTTGAGAGCAAGTTTGAGGGCCTAAATGATGGATTTTGATGTGACCTGTGGACAAGTTGAAGCTCATTCTACGGGGAGTGCCAGGGCCACCTCAGGGGACAGTCACCATGGTTGCCGCTGCCACCTTTTCGCACTCAGACATTCAAAAATTCATACAGAGTGCAACTATACCTGCATTCTACTTTCAGAGTCTAATCACAGGGAAAAGTTGTAATCCCAAAAACATTTTCAAGCATTCTTATATTCACACTTTCTGACATATGTGTTGGTATTAAACATGCTAGCCTCAACTCTCCACTCTGAGAAATTCTACAGTCACTGAAGATAGTTGATGTCCGGTACTGTGTAGGAACCTATCCAGTCAAATTCTGGAAAGTAAGCAAGCATTCAACAAACTAGAGACAAATAACATGGTCTCAAATACCATCTGCCTGGTTCCTGGGTTAGGCTGAACTTTAGTGATCTTCATTCAGTGAAGAATTATTCAGACTGAAGGGACAAAGCTAGCATTGTAAGTACATATGAGGCTCACAGGAAAAGAGCTTGTAAAAGTTACTTTTTGGAATTCCCAGCAGCCACGTTCACTGGGATATTGCAGGAGCTGCAGTCCAAGAAAGGAGAGGCAGTGTGGTGTATTGGTTAGGACACTGAGCTATAATTTTGGAGACAAGGGTTTGATTCCCATACCCAGCCCCCCTAAAATCCCATGGTAGGATCAACATAAGTCAAAACAATATAGAATCACAGAATCATAGAATAATAGAGTTGGAAGAGATCACCTAGTCCAACTCTCTGCCATGCAGGAAAAGCACAATCAAATTACAGATGGTCATCCAGCCTCCGTTTAAGACACACATGAAGACACACAACCTCAGCAGTAGAGTCCAGAAAAGTAATTTTTCAAAACAGAAGCACTATTAATTCTGTGAGTCACCCGATACCTTCTAGATACAGGGTACCATCTTCAAAAAGGGCTGTGAAACAGTGTGGTTTAGGAAAATCAGTTACTGTACCTAGAACATGTCCAGATACAGTCACAAAGTATCTGGGCTCTTCTTTCGAATATCCTTATAGATAGCTATGGCTGAGCTGAGCTCCTCGATCTTAGCTCTCCAAATTTAATTGTCCATGACAGAGACTTTAAGTAGCAATTAGAGTTTAGTTGCTTAGCTTAGGTTAAGTTTTGTTGTGTTAATGACGATATTTCAGAAAATGATTGACTGGTATAACTACTAATTCTTTGGCTTGGTCTGCCTACATTAATTTCTTTCACCGCCCAGGCTCTTGACAGTTTAATGTGGGGATCTAAAGAGGAATTTCTCAATTGAATATATTATATATTGCTTTTAAGTTGTTTTTGTTTTCTTGCATTTTGCAGGCTGAGTAATCTTTGCTTTAAATGTTCAATTAGACATGCCGATTGATGTGCTTTTTTTCTCTGCTTTCATCTGACAGACATGATCAAAGATTTTGTGTCAGCAAGGGATTTTGGTGCTCTTACACACTTGGCCCTCGTGAATGCAATCTACTTTAAGGGAAATTGGAAGTCTCAGTTCAGGCCAGAAAACACAAGAACGTTCTCTTTCACTAAGGATGATGAAAGTGAAGTGCAAATTCCAATGATGTATCAGCAGGGAGAGTTTTATTATGGTAAGCAAATGAGCCACTCTTTCTCTCTATCTGGCTAACTACAGACTAGGATTATATCAGATATACACTGTTCTCTTCAGCACTTCATGCCTATTCATATATGATGTTAGGAGCATCTCCTGCACAGTTCCTTGGGATCTAATCATGCTCTTTGGCCCAATCACACTATTTTCTTTTATGTAGGAAAGTATCTAAATAACTTCTCACATTACTTAGTTACAACACTATGATTTCACTGTAACTGTTGTTGTTCCAGCTTATGGAGATCTGGAATTTGTAGCTTTGGAAGCGACACCTAGAATTCTCAGGCAAAGATCTCTACCAATTCACTAACTACAAATTATGGGATTCCATGAGATGTTGCCATAGCAATTAAAGTGAAATAGAGCACTAATATTGTGTAGTATGAAAGGATCCCAAGAAACTGGAAATTTGTCTCTGGACTCAGTAGTTGGCATTAGACAAGCTCTTCTCTTTCATCTTCTTTTGTAAAAATCATTTTTATTTGATTTTTATATAAAACTAGAATATACAAAAAAAAAGTTATGATGCACACAGATTATACGAAACACAGTACAAACAACCAAAATGAACAAAAATAAAAATAATACAAATTATGCTATATCCATACTTCAATATTGCATGACTTCTTACTAATGTTTTTCAGCTTATATAATTTCTAAGTTTCTACTTCTCCCCTAATCAGTTAAATTGTTACACTTCATTTTAATTTAACTCAGACTATTACTCGAAACAAATAATCATTTCATCATCTTCATTCTTTCTTTAAAAGTCAGTTAAGGATTTTAAACTTTTCAAACAAATTACCAATTATTTTTCTCATTTTGCGGATTGAGCATGCCTTATCCAGAAATCTGGAACTCAAAGTACTCCAAAAATTGTCCAAATGGGTAACTTAAATAGTGACGCCTTTGCTTTTCGTAAACAAAAGAATTCATTTTTTTGTAAAAATTACTTTCAGGCTATGTGGACAAAGTGTACATGAAACATAAATTAATTCCACATTTAGCTTATATCCCATCTGTATGTGTATGCAAATACAGGTATTCCAGAATTGCAAAATTCCAAAATCCCAAACACTTCTGGTCCCAAACTATTTACTTATTTATTTAAAGCATTTATATTCCTCCCTTCTCACCTGGAAGGGGACCCAGGGAGGAGCACAACATAAATATGGCAAACATTCAATGCCAGAATAAAACAAACTATAAATATACACAAACATTAAAATATTTGTATCTACTTAAAATCAAATTGTTAAAAACCATCTCAATTTGGACATTACACAATAAATATACCTTGCAAAGAAAATCCTATGGTAGGGTCTCCATGAGATGGGATGGGTACAAACACATATCATCATCATTATCATCATAATCTTTTTAATAGCACTCCCCTCTCCTCTAGAAGACTCAGAGCGGCTTACAACAAGGCAAAGCAATACAATAACCATATAATACATTAAAGATTGAGACAATAATAAACAGAACAGGACATAATAAGAAACATAGATTACAAAACATATTAAATATAATTCAAAACATAAACCATAAATTAATGGATACTAATTATATCAAGTAATACAATTAAAACATCCTGGGTCTACAATTAGTTGATGTAAGTGATAAAGTTCAGTTAAAAATTTTAATTCCATTTTAAGTCATAAACCATTCTATAGTTTTTGCTTTGGTGTTTTTTCATATTCTGGGTTAAATTAGCATATGAATTTAAGAATAGATTAAAAAAATACAATTATTTTCTTTTAGGGGAATTCAGTGATGGTTCCAATGAAGCAGGTGGCATCTATCAAGTTCTGGAAATACCGTACGAGGGAGATGAGATCAGTATGATGATTGTTCTTTCCAGACAGGAAGTTCCACTAGCCACACTGGAACCTCTGGTCAAAGCCCAGTTGATTGAGGAATGGGCAACTTCTGTGAAGAAGCAGAAGGTGGAGGTGTATCTACCCAGGTGAGAATGGTTTCCCAGCTTCTTACCAGGGAAAAAGGGGAACTGGTACAATGTGGTAGATAACAATGTGGTGGATGGAACAGGACTTCAGGGACTGAGAGAGTTTAAGAGGGAGACTGGGATGTTTTGTTTTATCTTTGATTTCTTTGGGTGTCGTTTGAACAGCTTTGATCATATCTCATATGTAAAATGAAAGCATTGACTTCCTCTTTGAAATCTAAAGTTATACTCATGTTATTCTGGAATATTGATCTGCATAGGGATCTTATAGCACTTTGCAGACCAACTGAGAGAACAAGGTTGGTAAACTTTCATGGGGTAAATCCACTTCCTCCGATTCATGGAATGAATATTCATTTGAGACTGTTGACAAAGAAAATTAAGGGCATAGCTGTGGAAAATGTCTTGGCTGCAAGATTTGGTACAGAAACCATCCTTGATAAATAGGCTACCACATTCTTCTTTTCAATTTGCAGAGCCTGCCTAAGCTTTGGGGAGGCCTTCCATCGCAAGCTAAGAAAGCCAAATGGCAAACATAAGATTAATTTATCCTTTGAACAATATGCACTTCGGTTTTCACACACTGCAAAAAGATGACTATTGGATCTTTACTCAGTCTATTTCCCAACTGTGGAACTCCGAAAGACACTTCATTCTCAAGAATCCTCCCCTTGTAACTAGACATGTCCATCCCATGGTTGTATGTTGCCAAAATTAGAATTGTAAGTTTCTAGAAAGTTTTGTACTTGAGGCAACCTTATAACAAGTAGTTCCAACATAGATTCAAAATTCCCCAAAAAGAATATGGCAAGAAAAAGTGGCACGTATTTTCTGCAAGCTGTGTTTCTACAAAAGGGAATGAGCATATCCCTTAAGAGTCATTTTCCCCTGAATACTATGTCTTTTGCAACCCTTGAGATTTGTCAGTTCTGCAGACATTCCCTTCTTGTGTTAGATGGAGCTGTTTTACCTACCTAAGCGTGTATGTTGATTTATTTATTTCCTTATCCTTTGTTGTGTTGTATACATTATATTTGGAATAAACACAGAAAATACTTTCACAGAGAGCAGTGAACATAACTGTGGGAGACCAAGAGAATGCATTAGCTCACTAAGAGCCTTTGCCATGTTGTACTCTACACTACACCCCCAGAAAAACTGCAAATTGCCTTGGGAATATGAGGAGAATTTTTACCATTTTATGTGCAGGAAATCATTTTTTAACATCAGAAAGTGATATAAAGAGAGGCCACCTGAAAGCAAAGAAATGACACATGGGACCCACAAAAATGGCCCTGCTAGCCACACTTTGCTCATCTCTAAAGTCAAGGACAGCCAAGCAGCAATTCTCTAGACCAGGGGTCCTCAAACTTTTTAAACTGAGGGCAAAGTCACAGTCCCTCAAAGTGTTGGAGGGCCAGATTATAATTTGAGAAAAACATGAATGAATTCCTATGCACACTGCATATATCTTATTTGTAGTGCAGAACAATACAATAATTAAAATGAAGAGCAATTTTAACAAATATAAAGTTATTGTTATTTCAATGGGAAGTGTTGACCTGCTTTTGGTTGATGAGCTAGGATTGTTGTTGCTGCTGTGTGCTTTCAAGTAATTTCAGACTTAGGTTGACCCTGAGTGAGGGCCAGGTAAATGACCTTGGAGGGCCGTATCCGGCCCCCGGGCCTTAGTTTGAGGACCCCTGCTCTAGACAGTAGGGCAGAGGGCCACCCTAAAAACTCCTCTAAGAGCTGGTGGAAGGAAAAGGAGGCATCATAATTTACTACTATTAAGAAAAGATACCCTTTCAGTGCCACATTGTATGCAATATCCTCACTTCCAATTGCTTCCTTGAGAAGAACATTTGAAACCTGTGAGCAACAAATGTGGAAGCAAGTACACATCTTTTATGCAGGTCCCAATGACTCCAGTGCAGAGCGAAGTGATTTGTAAGGAAAATGCCTCAGACTTGGTTACTGTTATTAGCCAGTACTTTTCTCTTTTTATGTTCTTCAGCTAAATTGTGCTCGGAAGACAGTTTTGCAAATTGGTTTCATGGTCTATTTCCCTGCTACACAAAAGTGGATTAAAAAATGTTGATCGCTTTGGCTCAGAAACAATGGTTTGAGAATGAAGCTAAATATCATTTAACAATCCTGTACCGTTTCTGCGTTTTGCTATTAAGACAAGCAAACTGTAGTGTTGGTCGAATGCAGTCAGTGGAGATAGAAAATTGGAACGGATGTGATTAATTCAGCTTTCCTTTAGCTGCTCAAGCCTTATTACAAATGTAAAAGTTTTCAAAATGTTCACTTTATAATTGGATGGAATCTTTCAGGACGCTGCAAATTTAATTTTATTCCACTGCTGTTTCTCACTCTAGCGCCTACAGGCTATACATGCCTCTCCTATATTTTTACTCTCCTTTTTTGAAAAAAAAGGGCATAGCATAAAATATGCATGGAGTATTTATTTAGCACATTGATAATTTCCAGCAGATCTGCTTTCAGTCCTCTGAGAAACTCATCCTTGAAGTATATATCTAATCCCTTGAATTTAATAGGGGAATTATAGCACTGGAATACGATGCTTTGTGGTTATGCTAGCTACCTTTCTTGTTCCGATTGTAGATCTATGCTGGAGATAAATGGATATTGAGTTTTATCTGTCTCAGCACTATACTTCACTCATTAATATTTATAAAGATATTCAAAAATATTTGTGAAGAATCGGGAAAAAATCTTTTTTGGTCATACCCAAGGTTCTGTCATATTTAAGCATCATACTTAACGATACCTTCCAGCTGTTCGATTTTGACATAAACAATCTCTCTTAATCTTCACTCATCACAGTTTTTCAGCTGCTTTCAAAATGTCCTATTTTCTTTACCCTTCTCCTCAGTTTGCTTCATGTGTTGCAAACTAAGGGTGTAGCTACACTGTGGAATTAATCCAGTTTGATACCAATTTAGCTGCCATAACTCAATGCTTATGGAATCATAGGGGTCATAGTTTTACAAGGTTTTTCACCTTTATCCAAATCCCCAAATTTCATAGCATTAACCAATGACAGTTAAAGTGGTGTCAAATTAATTCTACAGTGTAGACACACCCAAGTTCAAAGTGCTGAAATAGTTTACATCAATTACAAGCAGTCCCCAAGTTACAAACAAGATTTGTCTTAAGTTGAATTTGTTTGTAAGTCAGAACAGGTACATTTTAAAGTGTAACTCCAGCCAAATATATATTTATATATGCAAGTGTTGGGTTAAACCGCTGAGCAGCTCAGTTCAGGAGCTCAGCGGGTTAAGCCGCTGAGCTGCTGAACTTGCTGACCAAACTTCCACCTCGCTCCCCAGTTCAAATCTAGGGAGCGGGGTGAGTTCCTGCTGTTAGGCCCATCTTCTGCCACCCTAGCAGTTTGAAAACACGCAAATGTGAGTAGGTAACGGCACTCCATGCAACCATGCTGGCCACATGACCTTGGAGATGTCTACAGACAGGGGCGGCTCAACCCAATACGCAAAGTAAGCATTTGCAGTATAGTTGATTTTGCCCAGGGGCGCTCTTGAAGCACTCTTGGGGAAAAATAGACCTTGACATATGTGAGTTGTAGTTACTGGGATGTATAGTTCACCTACAATCAAAGAGCATTCTGAACTCCACCAATGATGGAACTGAACCAAATATGGCAAACAGAAGTCCCACGACGAACAGAAAATATATATCGGTGATTGGTTGGGGTGGGGGGCAAAATACTGTTTGCTTACCGTTGAAAATTACCTAGGGCCGCCTCTGTCTACAAACAATGCCAGCTCTTCAGTTTAGAAATGGAGATGAGCACCACCCTCTAGAGTCGAACACAACTAGACTTACTGTCAGGGGAAACCTTTACTTTACCTAAGTGTTGGGTAGCATAGAGAAGGATTAACACCTCTGTGTATTTGTTTTGTTAACTGTGCCCCTGTTCAGAAGATTTCACCCTATTTTCTGTCCCTGTGATAATTGGATTTTGAAACATTTGGGTTGTTGTGGAAACAAGGATTGGTGATAAAGCTTCAGTGGAGACATCTTTTCCCCATGATAACTCTTTCAGAAGTGAATTTACTTACCTTCTGAGGGGAAGATTTATCTCACTTCCTGTTGTCTCACCCCCGTTCTTAACTATGAGTAATTTGTAAGTCAGATGTTTGTAACTCAGGGACTGCCTGTAGTTTTCATAGCAGAGAGGACTGGACACAATCTTGCTCTTTCTAATAAGTTCAGGGAAAAGCAAACATCTCTCAGATTTTGGCTGGAATGCATTTCTTTATTTTTTCCTATAATCATTATCTTGGATACAGATATGTCTTTTATAAGTGGAAAGACATCTTCACATGTCTAGGATTACCCTTGCTAAGTTGTTACAATCCCCCTTGTTCCACAACAGCTCACAAAGCTTGATCACATTCTGTTCCAGAGGATCGTTCCTAGGAGCTTTAACAGACATGAAGGTGAAAGAGAAGGAGGACAGTCCAGAAGAAAGTCCTTTGCATGAGCACAGTTCTACTTGCTCTTCCCTGTAACCAACCCAATCTTATGTCTTTCTCTTTTCCAGAACCTATTCTTCGAATTCTTTTCTAAAGCATGCTTCTTAAACTTTTCCACTCAGGACTTCTTTTGACCTGATAATTTTTTTACACAAGGTATATAGATATATAAAATAGATATAAAAATGAAACCTTTACTGATAACAAATCAGTATTATCAAGGCTTGTTGAACAGGTGGATCCACTATAAACACTGCACAAAAGATTCATGCAAATGTCTAAAACAGCCACTAGCATCATCAAATCATAGAATAATAGAGTTGGAAGAGACCATATGGGCCATCTAGTTCAACACCCTGCCATGCAGGAAAAAAACAATCCAAGTACCCCTGACAGATGGCCATCCAGCCTCTGTTTAAAAGCTTCCAAAGAAGGAGTTTCCAAGGCAGAGAGTTTCATTGCTGAACACTA